AAGGCGTGAAGCGAACGCAACCACGGCTTGCAGCTTGCAACGTATTTGCAATGACGAAGCACTAACATTTAATACTTATTTTGAATATCGTAGTAATATACTAACTAGTACAACAAAAGAAATATCAATCTACAAGTCCTCTGATGATCCCCTAAGGATTACATTTCTCATACCAAATATACACTAAGGTTTTTTTTTTATAATATAAGGTGGTAAACAAACAACGAACACCTGAATCCACCGAAATGGAAAGCGACCGCTGCCCATAAACATCAATAGCAGATGCATTGCCTACCATTAATTGACGGAGGAGGAGACACACATAAAAGGGGACAGTTCCCCTACCTAAGCGTCTCCTCCACCGTCAAATTCACTTTTCCTTCCCATCCTTTCCTCTTAAGAAAAGTATGGAAAGGGAAAGGAACTTAAATTATGCCTCCTGTACTACAGTCATCAGACGAAACGCAGAATTTGCTCCCAATTTACGCCTAGGTCACACACCTAGGTTGTAGACTTTATTCAGTTTATTTAAGGTGACGGTGTCCAGTGCACTTACGGTAATCAATTATCTTTATTAAGGAAGTTAGAGATTAAGTTTCGTAACATCGATGCAGAATTGACAGATTTTTTGCGCTTCGTAATTTTTTTCTTCACGCACAAACGCAATCGTGACCTTTCACATTTGAAAAATTTAATCTTCACTAAATATGTGAATATTTTAAAATATGAATAACGAGCTGTTGCCCGCGACTTCGTCCGCGTGGTATTCGAAAACATGCAAACTATATAAATTACAAAAAGTTACGTATCCCTCAGGAACCGGACATTTCTCGGGGATGAAGCTTATCCCATGTGTACTCCAGACTTTGTTTTATATCTGTGCCAAATTTCAATAAGATATGTTGAACCGTTGCAGAATGATCGAGTAAACATTAAAAAACTAAATTAATGAATCCCACGGGAACCGTAACGATTCCCGGGATAAAAAGTAGCCTATGTGTTCTTCCAGACTATGCTCTAAACCTGTGCCTAATTTCATGGAGATCCGTTCAGCCGTTTAGGCTACAAACGCTAACAAACATCCATCCATCCATCCATCCATACATCCATCAATCCATCCATCCATCCATCCATCCATCTATCCATCCATCCATCTAAACTTTCGCATTTATAATATTAGTAAGATTGATAGCGCAATTTAATTTGACTATTTGGATATAAATCTCAGATATATAGGCTTATGTCTACGCTCTATTTCTTACATTATGTATTATGTAATACATTATGTGTTACAGTTGATATAATTTATATTAGGTATTTTAAAACAAAACAAGTTGGTATTCTGTAATAGTAACATTGCGTTTCGAAAGTATTAAGATTTATTACACTCTTGCGTGCAAATACAGTTCTGTTATTAAAGAAGCTTAAGATGATATCCAAACGCCATAGTTACCAGATTTTAATTGTTTTATTTCAACAATCTTTGATATCCGGCTTTCTTGATTTTTCCGGTTTAATTTTAGAAATACAGTAATAGCCCCCTCTTAAGCCTATAATATCATAAACATTTCAATAGAAGGAAAACTAAGGGCTGTAATAAGTGTTATATTATTGCCAACATAAATGATTACAGTTTTCATTGTTTTACTGTATTGAACGTAGTCTGGATTTTAATTCAGTTTATCTAAATGTGAAAAGAATATTTGTAGTATTATTCCCAATATTACGGGGGGAGTTTAAAAATAACTAATTGAGAATATATATGTGTAAGAACCACAGAATAAAAATAGTTTATATTCAACACGTAATAAATATTTTATTACGACATTATCTGTCATTAATTTAAAATCAAATCACACCTTTATATCACTTAACCGAAACGTGATATAACTGTTAACTACCGTTAAAAATATTATGACGACAATTTCGACCCTGTACGTATAACTTTTGTCCAAAGGTTGGTACCTCCAAAGACTTGTTTCTTTTTTATTATACTAAAATAGTAGACGGTGCAGATCAATCAGCCAGCAGTGAAAGTGGTCAATCACCTTTGGCTATTTCTCTCAACGATACAACAATAAAATGATGCTTAAGTTTTACAGATAATGTTTTAACCGTTTATCATCATAATCCTTCTTATCCTACTCCCGTAGGGTCAGCGAATCAGGTTTTAGTCCTCCCCATAACTCTATCATACGTCATCTTTTCACACAATCCATCCATTTATTTTTATATCTATCTCTACCGGTGTATCCTTCCACACTCATAACTAACGTTCTCCTTGTAACATGTGATTCATCCCACCTCAGTTATGTTTTAACCGTTTACTGTTTTTAAAAAACGTTTCAAATTACTGAACAAGGAATTTATATACTTCTGTGTAAATTTTACGATGCTTTACATATAATAACTGAATAGCCAGTTAAATACTTATGCCCCTTGTATTATTGTTTGTACTTATACAACAAAACCTCTTGCTTCCGTGAAACTTGAATGATGGCATCAATTGTGTAATAACGAAACATAAAACGTAACGATGGTTAATAATTATAGAAACATTTAGGAAGTTAAATAACATTTGAAGGCAATCAAAAACACATCAGAACGCAACAATATTACTAGTGTCGTTAGATATAAGTTAATGCTTATGTGTCCGGAAGAAAGTGGCGGAGAGATGTCTAACTCGTACAGAGAGCGGTAACTTTTGCAAAAGGAAATATAACGAGAACTATTACATTTATAAAGTTTTAACATATAGTGTTTCATCCATGGGTATTGGGAGGGGAGTCGGCTGCCTCTATTTCTCATACAAAATCTATACTTAGGGCGCTCTTAGTGATCAATAATTGAGATATAGTAACACCACCGCTTTGGGCAAGATACCTATGACGCTCCCTTTTTATAATGCCTTAGGGAGAGATTACCAGGGCTTCGAGAGACTATGTTTTTCCTAGTTTTGTGACGCCCCTTTCTGTCTACCGCCCTGGGCTGTCGCCCAACAACGCCCCTAACGCCGGTACTGAATAGTTTGTCAGTAAATCTTCATAATGGCGTCATCGAAGTTTAAGTTACGATGGTCGTCAGTCGTGGATTGCGATGCATATTAATTGCACTTATTATATAAGCTATTCAAATTCTATGACCAATTATTTATAAGTATTCATATCAAGGTCGATACGTACGTTTGTTCCTTGGACTGTGAATAATTGTAACTTAGTTAAATAATTTTTAATCAGGTAATTTATTATAACTGTTATGTTAAAAACAACGGAAATATGCGGAACTATTCCGTAAACTATTCTGTAGTGAAATAAATAACAGAAAAATGGTTTAAAATATGAATAGAACAGTTATGTTCTTATTTCTCTGTGTATTTTCAAAAACTTACGTTTGATGTTAACATAACGTAAGGTACACTAGATGTACAAAGTATAACAGAATATCCAACGTTTCAAATTATAAATTTCTTATTACGCAATTGTCTATTTGTTAATGAACATTGTGTACTGAGCTAAGAGCGAGCATTTCGCAGTAATCCGCGCTGCAACGCTGAATCTTGTTTCAATTAAAATCGTTACACTTTCAAAACACTTCCATACACTTGTTACATTTAGCATTTACTTTGTTATGTAATTTAATCAGGTAATGCTGTTTAATTTCAACAAGCAATGTGTTATTTATTTAAAACATCTTGACGGTTTGTAACATAACGAATCGCACAGAGCACAATTTTATATGTAGCGGGTGAGTACTGGGGACCGCCCAGCGCGCTGGTACCGCTAAGTTCGGTCCTATAGCCTCATGTAAAGGGTTGTCAGGGAGAGGCAATCGTGAATAATTGACAGTTTTTGATTACGATTAAAAGGAGCCGTAACTTAGCACTGAATGGTTATTTTCCGGCTACAGTGTTTTAAAAAGAATAATAAAAGTAACAGAAAATGTGCCTTTAGCCGATTTTCGACTAACGCATCAATATCTGTCATCCATAATCATATGATAAGCTAATTAATTAAAATGTTTACTAATATATTTAAATCGCAAATGTACACGATTAAATATTATGTAAATAATATTTGGACGTCATAATTAATACTTATCAGATTATTAGATAAAACCCCGTTTTCTGTATGTACTTTCAGCTGCAGTCTTTTGACCTATAAGTATGGACTTTGTATTTATGTCAAAGTAACAATCGTTTTGGGGTATTCTTGAAGAATTTTCAATTCTAGAATTAACGTCTTAACATAATTGGAATTCTCTTTATTTGTTGATTACTTTATCACCTTCTTGTAGTTAAAATTGTTATGTCTTTCGAAATTCAAAATTTCCATTTTAGGCATTCTGTATGTTTCTATCTTTGGTGCTGAGCAATGCACTTAAAAAGCATAATTGTACATCGTTACCTTGAAAAAATTATACACGTCTCGTATAGTGTATGGGTAACAAAATATGTAGTTACTGTGTAAAGATTGTGGCATTGACGATTCTCTTAACCGGTGAACGTTAAAATACTTGGAAAATTACGCAAATGAAACAAACATTGTTAATAGCAACATACAAGATCGTCAGTCAATAATTTCTGAGCTAGACTTAATACAACAATGCACAATAAAGTCATTTACCCCATGATAAATAAAAATAAGAATATTGCTCATAATATTAAAAACAAACCCAAGACCATAAACAGGTTGTTAAAACCCAAAACCATCCTGGGTATTGACCGATTGTTTATTTCGAAAATGTAATTAATATAAAAAAATTGGGTTATTTGTCATAACAATAATATTGTGATATTTGTTTTAATATGTTTACATTGAGCTGTTTTCATTTATTTAGTAAAAATGCAGAAATTAATTAATTATCGTTCGACAGTAGGCGATCAATGCTTGATAATGAGCAAACTCCAAGCAAATATTGACATTATAATTTTGTTAAGAGTATTTGTAACATAAACATACTAATTGTAACAAGGAAATATATTCTGAGGCATAATAACTTACCTTCATTAATGCAAAGCGTTGGTCATCATCGATGCCTACGACTGTGTTCGACATTGGGGCCATTGTACACAAAATCTACAAATGTTTATATGTGTTTATATTTCAATTCGACGTTAACACTCGGAGTTGGCCGCACGATTGACGCGAGCACACAGCGCGAACGCGAATTCTTATATGATAACTTAACTGTCAAAGTAACTTAGCTGTCAAGTAACCGCAACCAACGGAGCCAAGAATGGAAGGGCAACGGGGGCAAGTCGTACCAAATGTTTAATATACATACGGAAGCATCGTGTTATTATTATGAGTAGCAATTAAGAATTATTTATTGACGTATCAGAAAATAAAAATTAACGTATTAACTAAAGGGGTTGGCAAATAGAGCAAATATATCCGTAAGATATGAAGTTTTCTTTTTAACTAGTTTTTGCCCGGGAATCCTCCCGCGTGAAATTAAAAAAAAAAGTAAGTAGCCATGTGTCTTTCCAGACTATACTCTAAAACTATACCAAATTTCTCTAAAAACTCTAACAAATATCCATCCATCTAAACTTTCGCATTAATAATATTAGTATAGTATGATTTCAATTTATGACAAGAAGACTAGGTCATAAATTTCTATTATGTTTCAAAGTAATAATTTGTAGACTATAATGTTTGTGTTCAAATTGAAATTGACATTGAAATGCTATATTGAACTTAACTTAATTGGCATTCTAGTGTAGACCACATGACCAAACTTGTGACTAACAATGTCAGAAGTAGGCAAGTGGAATGTCGACTTTCATGGAAAGTTGTACAGCTAGTTTTTTTAAATGAATTCTTAAGCCTATAATATATAATGCTGTCTTAATAATTCCTTAAAGTGCATTTTTAATGTACATTTAAGGTTGATTGAAAATGGGATAAATATGGGAATGGAAAGCAAAAACATTTGTATATACATTTTAATATAAAAAAACTTATACACTAGTTTGATTAAATACTTTTTTTCTTATATAATGTGGCATAGGACCAGTGGCCAGATAAATTTGCAGATAAAGTGAAGGGTCTGCCCATATACAATATCAATGAGGAGAAGACACACATAAATAGTATGTGGGAACATTCTCATAGAATTATTTCATTACAGTAAAAACTACTCCTCCCTTCTCTGGTTCCTCATCATGAACTTCATCACTTTCCTCGATATCTGATAATCCTGCAGAATTATCACTCTCAGGTTCTCTATAGTCATTAAACTTTGATGTTTCTGGAATTGGAATCATTTGTATCCCTTTCAATGACATTAATTTTTCAGTTGCATATTTTATCTGAATTTCTTGCAAATGCTTGTTGTATTCTTTTTGAAGCTTTAAAGACTCATCTAATGATAATACTTTCACAGGACCGTGGAGAATAGGAGGAGGTGTTGCAGCAGTTACCTCCCAATGTTTGTGCTTCTTTCTATGGACTTCCTTTTCAGGTCTATGCACATCTGTTTTTGTAGTTTTATATGGTTTGAAATGACCAGTTGGTTTAGGTTCAATGTTTTGTTCTGCTTTCTCTACCAAATATTTGACATGTGGGATTTCACCAATGTTAATTAAATCTTCAGGCGTAACTAAAGGTGTTTCTTGTTGTATGACTTTTAGCTTTTTATCTTGAGCTGTTTGCTGACTTAATATTTGTAAGACGTCTTCTGGATCACTATCATCGTCAGAGTCTAGATAAGTATTCTCGTTGTTCACTAATTTTCCTTCCCATTCAATATTTTGGACGCTATCATTGTTTAGATTCAAATTTTCTAGTAAATCGTTTACATTTTCCTCTTCTTCGCGCGATTTTATTACTTTCAGAATTTTGTTATGTAGTTCTTGTATTTTTGCACCTTTATCAGGCAATCTATTAATAAAGCCTTTGTTTTTCAGTAGTTTTAATTGTCGATCGCGAAGCTCAAAAAGTTCGGCAAGTGTTTTAGACGATAGATTTGTGATTTTACCATCTATTTCACATTTCGGTGGTGGTGGAACAATTCCTGGTATTTTCTTCATTCCTCTGTCTATGTAGTACTATCATATGTAATTAAAATTGATACAAAATTAATATTTCATATTAGTTTCATATTTGGTTTGTATTTTGACTAGATCGATTTTGTCATAGAGTGAGAAAAATTTGACAGATAGCTTTTTTGGTATTCCTTAAAATAATTTTTACGGCTCTAGCTTCCTATTTTATTTTTTGAGTCATTTTTTTTTTGCAATCAATTTCCTCTTTACAAGGTATTTAATTGAGTAGTCCAACCATAATTCACTGCACATCTTATTTCCCCTAATGTTAACTAGAAAAAAATATTTGTCTTGTAGCATTTTCTACCTATTCTGTTTTTTCTCTATAATCTGTCTGAAATGGTGATAGACAATGTGACAATGACAGTCTTTGATGACAGTGACAATTGACAAAATGGTGTTATAAATTATTAAATTATGATATCGAAACGGCGCTTATGGTACTTATAACGCATAATTTTGTGTAATGTAAAATGTTAGTACTTTAATATAAACAGATACAAACGAACATAATTTGTGATAAATATGGACGACTTTACGGTAAGTATTGTTTTTTTATTTTGTTTATGGAACAATAGGCTACGATAGATTTTTTTGTTACGTGAGGATTAAGGCGCGAGTAATCTCTAGTGTATTCCATCGAAGTTATGCGTTAATTTTCGTAGTAGTCTTTTTATTCAACACTGTGAGATTTCTATTCAAAACTATAAAATTACTTGGGAACCAAACTGTTACTGTTAAAACTTTTCAGGTGCCTTTGAACTTGGAGCCGCTGCAGCAGAATGGATTCAGTGACAGGAGATTATGGATTGGAAATCTCGATCTCAGAGTTAATGAGTATGAATATTTATTTTTTATTTAATTTTAACCAAGTTCTTACTAATTTGTGATAATTATTACAAAAGTAAAATTATGGAAGGAACACCTGATGTTTAATAATACTGACATTACAACACCATATACAAAATTTAAACATTCTGGATATGCAACTAACTAACATGTGCCTCACATTCTTGAGAAATAATTTAAAATACATAAGCAATGATTTCTGTTAAATAATGTTATATGTGTAGTAATCAAAATACATGCTTTTCGGAGGCAAGAGTTTCGGAAACACCCTACAACTATTTTCATATAACTTAAGAGTTGTATAATGTTCACTCCAGTAACCATTACCCTTTTCACTTTACCGGTATCAATTACTGAAAATGGTCCGCGTGTACGGAAACATCGAGAAGTTTGATATGCTTTTTCACCGGAGTGGGCCTAATGCAGGCCAGCCACGAGGCTTCGCGTTTGTTACTTATAAGCTAAGGAAGGATGCCATTACCGCTATGAACTCACTAAGTGGTCAGCTATTAGGTTCGAAAAGGATATGTGTGAAATTTGCAAAGACTACAACTGTAAGTAACATTATTACTCTGTGAAAACTGGACTAAAACCGGTACTCAATATATCATGATGTTAGTCTAATATAAGTTTTTTTTTTAAGAATTGTAAAACAAACAGTATATAAATTCATACTTAAGGCATTTGTTTGCAAGTTTGGATTGATATTTGGTATAAATGTAGTAAAGTGAAATGTTTTTTTTTTTATAATGGCTCACATTTATGCATTTAGATGCTAGAGAACAATAAAAAATTATTATTATTGGTTAATTAAAAATGTCTATGCCTAGTAATCTTTACTAATATTATAATGAGAAAAGATTTGTGTTTTTGGATTTCTGTATGTATTTATATAACTTAAAAACTACTTAGCCAATTTAAAAAATTCTGTCAATAATAGCTATGCTAAATATATATTAAGTAACATAGGCTATATTTATTACAATTTATATTTCTGCATGGAAAAAAGTGAGAGCAACAGCTAGTGTTCAATAAAACAAATAATTTCTAACTATTTCTGTCTAATATGAATAATAATTTCAGGATGATCAAGATAAACCAAAGCCAGAATTAGGCATACCAGCTCTGGCCGGTG